ACTTCCTTGTTGCTCTGATTCCTGGACCAGATAGTCCAGAAGAGTGGTCGAAAACAAACCGTCGAAAAGCTTTGGGGACGTTTGGGCGAGCCATGCTGGCAGACACATTACAAAGAATGGTTTCTGATTGGAGGGTTGAGGGAATTGAAGAAACATGAAATGAAGAGAATAATAGTACGGACATAAACTTATGATCACAATGCTGGTTTGCCAGCTTAGCAAGGTACAACCTTGTGGAAGAGCGAAAAGTGTTAATGTCTGGGTGAGGCAGGCGTCCGCAAACCACTGTTTGTTGATAGCAATCTTGAAGCGTACCGAATGACGGTAGTGAATTGGGAAATATAGCCCAGACGAAGTATCTAGCGCGGTGAATGGTGATCAGGCTTGGCGTTGAAAGCATACTTGAGTGGCTTATGATCGGTTAGAATGTAAAATGATCTTCTCTGTAATAAGTGCGGGGAATGGTAAACGGCAGGTTAAATGGCGCGCGATTCGCGACCAAAATTACGGAAACGCGTTTGTGCGGGCTTAATCGTCTGCAAGAAGAAGGCCAATGGTTTGAATACGCTATTGACAACTTGATGAAGTAGGGCGCCAACAGCATTTTTGAAGCATAAGTCGTCAAAATGATCTTTGTGTTTTCGTGAGTATCGGGGAAACCTACTTTTGTGCGGTGAGCGATGGCTTGCTTGGTTTTTTCGAAAGCAGAAATGGCGGCGTCGGACAAAGTGACAGATTTTTCCTTGGGGCCAAGTAAATTGGCTAGTGGTTGTTAGATATCTCCACAATGAAGGATGAGCTGCCGATAATAGTTAATGATGCCAATGAAAAGACGAAGTTAGGTGATGGTGGTGGGTGCGGGAAAAGATTCTGGGACCGAAGTGCGGTCGGAAACTGGCGAAATATCAGTTGGGTCAACGTCGTGACCAAGAAAATCTAAGCCAGTACCACCAAACAAGCATTTTTCAATGTTCAAACGTATGTTTTAGGTGTAAAGACGTTCAAATACTGCCCTGAGATGAGTTGCATGCTCTGTTAATGACAGGTATACATAAAAGGTAAGCAACGTAAAACTGCGTCCATGAGACGTTGAAACGTTTGAGCTGTATTTCGAAGACCAACGGGCATACCCGTGAATCCGAAAAGGCCAAATGGTGTTGTGACACCTGTTTTGGGATACTATCTTGGGATACGGTTATGTGGTAGTATGCACGTACAAGATCGAGCTTGGAAAAAATAGTTGTGCGGCATTAGATACTTGCGAAATCGTAGATATGTGGCATGGGATAACTGTCTGGGATAGTAGCATTATTGAGGAAACGGTAACCTCCGCAAAGTCCGCAATCAGCTTTAAATTTCTGGGGCACCATTTGTAGGGGTGACAGCTATTGACTTGATAAAGTGAGGATGGTGCCGAGTTCGAGCGTTTGTTCGAACTCACGTTTCGCTATCTGGAGCTCACCCGGATGAAGTCGAGGAGGGTTGTTATGGACAGGACGACCTCTCGCCTGGATGTTGTGGACGACGGAAAAAGTGACTGGTTGGGTGTATTGACACGGATGGATAAGGGTTGGAAAATCTCTAAGCATATCAGCAAAATGGAAATCAGGTAGGTTGACATGGACTTGGGGACTAATTCCGTTGACTGAGATGGAAGTTAACATTCCAAGAGACGTTTGTGTCGGAAAGTGACAGATAAGTTGTAGTGGGTTAGGAAGCCTGAGCCAATGATTGGCGTTTGAAAGGTGGTCAAAAGGAAAATCCACTTGAACCCACGTCGCAGGTCAAAAGTGAGGAAATGTTCGCTCATGTGGCGATGCGAGTACCGCTGGCGGTTGTTAACGAGCAGGAGGCAGATTAATTTGTTGTAGCACACTAAATTCAGCTCCCTTATCTATGAAGAAACGTGGACCAGTTGAACGATCGGTGGTGAGGAATAGGTGGCAAGTGCAAAGTGGGCCGTTGACTGATTGGCCGGAGTTTTAGAGGGCTGTTGGGAAGCGGTATAAAGAAACAAGGCGGTTGGCATTCGCTTGACTTGGACCCGAGAGTTTGGTGAGGGACAGCAGCACAACAACTATCAAGATCGTTAACAGGATCGATGCTTGTTGATTTAGAGCCATTGCAGACAATCCATGAAGTTATCAAACCATGTTTACAGTTGCGAGGTGGCAGAAATCATCGGGTCGGGAACTGTGGAAATAGCGGATGCAAATCGGATGTTATCGTATTTCCGACTAAATTGGATGAAACGTAGTGGGTGTCCGTAGTGACCGGGCGGAACGAAAAACCACGACGAATCCGAAACAGCGACACTGGTGAGTCTCTACGTTTCGCTGCACGCCATGTTTCTGTGAGTCCTGTTAACGCCTATCCGCTTCTCTAATCCCTCCCGCTCGTCATCCCCATTTATATATTTTGTGACTCTGACATGGGTCTAACAGTCCCAGACCACCAGGTCTTAGCGGTGGTTTAAGTTTAAGTTCAACATGATTGGCCGGATGTCTCCAAATCTGCTGCTTCACCAGATCTGATGTTCTGGTTCCTCATTTTTCACCGTTACAATTTTCTTGTCATGTACTAGGCAGGAAGCCTCTTGTTTGGCCCTTCTGCGCTTTGTTTTTTGCCTTCCACCTTCAAATTCAAGCGATCTTCTCTTGCTCGATGTTCTCCTCAATAACACATAGTAGTTGTGATACCCTCCTGTGCATGTTTGGCCGTGATTATACCTACTTCGTATGCTGCCCGCCTCCAATGATGCTGTACTTTTTCCTGACCCAGTCATGCTTTTATTCTGACTTTAACATTATTATCACACCTGACGGTATACCACCCGCAATTTTGAAAATTAACATTATTATCTAGAAAGACACGAGCTTACCAAATATGTGGCGGTCTGGCTAACCAAAAGCTAATTTGTCCGGAGTTTGTGGCCAGAAGATAAACATTACTACTCTAGATCGAGCGTACAATAATCGAAAGGGTCAAATGTAAGTGAGCCATCCAGAACCATTAATTTTCGAATGGTTCGTCCTTTTCCCAAGTCAGCGAACAAATAATAATCGAGTTTTAATTGTCCTGGGGTCTTCCTCTGAACGGCTCTCACATGTAACAAATTTCGAGGACAGTTTGAAATTTTTTAGACGAGGGTTTCAAGGGTTCGCGGGGAAAGAGATCAAGCGTCGCAAGACGGGTTTTGTAGTCCACGGATTTGGGGCCGACAATGATTTTCGTAGCGGCTTGCTGAACACGCTCAATGAGGGTGACGTCTTTCGTGCGTCCTGAGTAGACAACTTGGCTGGCGTATTCCGGGAGCGGTCTTACGGAGGCCCCATATATTACTTAGAAGTCCATGCGAGTATTAATTGTGAGGGTGTGTTAGATCATCCGTGAGATGACGAATGCTTTTTGGGCCGATTTCTCATGGTGCAGTGAGAAGGACAAGTTTGAGGAGACCCATATACCGAATTCCCTTTTGGCGTCTATCCTCATAATGTTTTCTGATCCTGGCTCAACATGCATGACAAAGGCACTTGCTGAGTATCCTCCAAATGACATATGAACGCTCTTTTGGGTGCCAGTCCAACGACCACTGCTTTACAGCGTCTACATCCATTTAGAGGGCATTGGCATTGGAACTCCAGGATTTCAAGTCGTCCGCAAAAAGTAGACATGGACTTGCAAGAACCTCTGGGAGGTCGTTGACGTAGAGCAGAAACAGGAGTGGTCCCAGGACGGAGCCTTGAAGAACTCCAATGGATACCGGCGCTGGAGTAGAGTAGATCGAGCCCATTCTCACTCAGAATGATCTGTCTGATAGGAACGTCCTGATCCAGTGTCCTTGAATTCCGTAAGACTCGAGTTTGTGGGGCAGCGGGACGTGTGGGGCCCTATCAGATGCCTTTGAGAAGTTGAAAAATATGGCATCCGATATGAGTCCTTCGTCCTTTACTTGGGTTAAGCTGTATATCAACACGAGCACTTTCGTCATGCAAACGGTTTTGGAGAGTTCCGCGTTTAGCTGGAGATATCAGGTTGTTGGGAGTAAGGTAATCTAAAATGGCTCGTTTCCAGAGAAGCTCCACCACCTTGCACGGTGTGCTACGGAGGCTTATAGGCCTGTAGCTGTCTGGCGATATTCGGTTACCAGTTCTGTAAATTGGCGTGTCACTCGGTTTCTTCCAAGCAGAGCGAAGGCGGCCTTCGTCAAGCGACTGACGAAACGCCAGGTAGAAATGATTTGCCAGTGTAGACGACGTTTCCTTCAGGATCCCTTGATTCACCTCGTCGAGTTTTAGCATACGAAACTCGCGAATAACCTCTGAAAGCACGAGTGAAATTAGAAGGGAGAGTTGAAGCACGTGACGTCGTTAGTAGTGCGTTTGAACTGCCCAAAAGCGCCTTTTAGTAGTTTTTCGTGTTGAAACAAAATGGCTTATACCAGACACCACACTATTCTCTGGATTATTTGCATCAGTTGTATTCGCTCCACTCTTGCGAGCCCGCGGAACAATGCTAAGCTGAAAGGTAAACTGAGAGAAAAAGGGGAAGGTGAAATATTCGGAAAAACGATCTGTTATGACTAGGAAAGATTGAAAGCACTAAAAAATCATCAACGGAAAATTAAACGTTTTGAATGTCCCTCCCCTGTCCATTTATCACTTTGCGTATCAGTAAAAAACATCTTGGTTTTACGCCGTCACTCAAAATCCTATATTCGTCGGTGAAATAACAAGAGAAATCGGGCCTTCACAAGCAGTGCTGCGCCGTATTGGTTGACCCACAGGTATGCGAAAGTCGTAGAACCGTGATCCTACCAAACACCGTCCGTCATTCACACAATTCTCAACGTTTTGACGTGGATAGCCAAAGGGCTACGCCCTATTGTATCAGCTAGAAAACCTAGAACATTTTGTGGAATTCCTTTGGTCATGTTCAGTATCTAAGGTGAACTGCAAAAGTCGCTGTGGCGGTAAACGGTTTTCGAATACTTCGGCGGGATGTTGTCTGGGTCTGATTCCTCTGATGGCGTTTTGCTTCGGAGGAATGTGGCCCGTCCACCTGAACCAGAGACAAATATTCAAAACAACACAGCAGATGAAACCACTCAAGAGGAAGGCGATTCAAAAGAAGTTAGACTTAGTTTAATGGAAGAGATTCTATTATTGGGTCTAAAGGACCGCGAGGTGAGTTGTTTTTGTTGTCCTACATGGTGCAGGGACACTTATCGTTCTGGAATGATAGTGTTAGCTGTGGGTTGAGGGGATGCATTCTTGCAGAGCTAGGGCTACGTGGGCGCATTGGCTTGGAACCAGCAGGCATGCGCAGGCGTGGCCTGTTTTCCCGGGTTATCGTTGTCAAAAATGGTCTGCCTACTGGAGATGCACTGCTCGACGAGGCCCTAAAGCTTATCAAAACTAATAGCCCGGAAAATGCGAAAACCTGGATTGATTATCTGAGTGGTAGGTTCGGTTTTTATCGCACATGCACTCTAGGTGAAACCTGGAACCCATTTAAGCTGCCCCTGCAAATGCGTCATGTCAGGGAGCGTATCGCAAAGAGTCTGGTGGAGAAAGGCATATGTACCACCGAGAAACAGAACTTCGTGGTATTTGATATGATGACACATCCCCTTGTTGATTTTCACACAAAGCAGCGCGTGATGCAGAGAATTCAGGATGGCATAATAAACAGGTGGAGTGCGGATGTACAGAAAATTGACAAACGTCTCCTCACTTTGATAATACTTGCCCATCATTCGGATGTTCTCGACAACGCCCTGGCCTCATTGTCAGATTCAGATTATGATCTCGCGAGGAAACGAGTGAACTCTGTACTTCAACTTGACTTTACAGCGGAATCTGCGAGGGATGGAGCCTTAGATGTTCTATGGGCTGTTTACGCCTCCTTTGCCACTTGACAGCTCCAAGATCCCATTATTCCATGGCTGTGATCCCAACAATCATTGTACACTGTCTTTCTGCACTATCACTTCAAGTTCGAGACGCCGCTCATTGCTACTGACCTTGTAACTGATATCATCCACGGTTGAGTATGGCCTGGGCGAGCTGTGATGTACTATTCAAGGAGCCCTAACTTTTCTTTGTGGGATGTGGCCGCTCATTTATCTCATGGTTTACTTCCCATACTGTGGACGGTCACTGCATACCGCTATGAATAAACTTTTTGAATGTCACCACCGCTCTAATTTGGATCTCAGAATCTGTATCATATCCAGATCCAAATTACTTTCCTCCTCGGTGTTTTTCCCAATGTAATCTGATGAGCCCGTTGCTTGCCAACACTCTTACAGTCATGTCGTTAACTCTAAATGTTATGGACTATATTACCTCACTTGAGAACCGTGGCATGTAATATGTTCCTGCTTATGCCTCAGTTAGGGACAGGATGGCTCAGTGGTTGAAGCGCCAATTTACTTACCAGAAGGTCCGTCATTCGAACCCGACCTCTGCCACTTGACTTCCACTGTCTAGGCTTGGGCAACTTCGCACTATCCCAGCCCTCGGCTTTCCTTCGGGTGGCATGGCAGTTAAGCACCAAAAGGGTGTTGCAGCTGAACGGTTATCTTCTATTATTTTACGCTTTGGTTAAATGAATGAGACTTGATAGGTAGTCAGCTAATCAAATGCTGAGTCAGTTATCGGCATCGCTCTAATCTGCTGCTCATTATTTGGTACGACTATTGAACCGTGTGTGACTGTATAGTCCTTGGGACGCAGTTTTTTGCGTTTATTATTGAGTGTGTGACGATTACCAGGTGCATCTCTTGACTTATGTAGGTAACAAGAACATGTGTACATTCAGAGTTCCATAGATAAATAGGCGTTCAGTGGATAAGATAACATAGTATATCTATTCGTTATTGCGGTGTGTGTAATTATGGGACCTGGTTGTTTCCAGCGGTCATCATCATCGGCAGCATGACATCAGTGTTCAATCCCGATACTCCGCTGTGTCACTTTGTGAAAGCTCCTGGTTGTTCCAGCGGTCATCATCAACCACAGCATGACATCAGTGTTCAATCCCGATACTCCGCTGTGTCACTTTGTGAAAGCTGGAAATTCATGTAGGTCACAGGGCATGCTCGTTTAGTGCTTGATATCCGGGATTCTTTGGATTTAATTGACAAGTATGGGTATATTACTCCTCTTCCTGTCCCACGGGGTAGAGATTTCTGTCAGTGAATGGTGGCTCGGCCGTGTGGTACGCATGCATATCATCGTCTACCGAGAGGAGTATTGTTTCCTGTGCCACCTTGTGAACGCCGCCAACTATTAGGTAGATGTCTAACTTGACAGAAGGGTGTTGTGGTCTACCTTTCAGGATATGGGCCCCATCATTCCCTGCGTTTGGTTGGGATAGTGTAAAAATGGCGAATAATCAATGTCACTGGCTTTTGTGCTGTCGGATTCTTTTCAGACTGAGCACTTATGCGTACAGGCTCATCAGAGTGCCTAAGGTAGTCCTCCATAAAGTCCTATTCCCATCCACTTTTCCCCTTTTTCATTTTGAGAACAATCAAGTACTTATTTTACGGTAGTCTATGCATTCTCGGAGGATAAATAACCTAAGAATCATCGCAGTCGGCAACATGGGTTTATTAAGTTAATTATGTAAAGACTTAATACACTACCTCTCAGGTTGCTTAAAGCTCTTCGAAAACTCACGATCGGTTTTGCTCGTCTTGAAGCTTATCAGTTAGTCGTAGTCCCCGAATTTCCGTCAACCTTATGTTCTGCTTTAACCTACAGCAGTGAAGCATCAGTGCCAACACTGATGTTGCTGTCTTTGATGGTGATGATGATACTTCAACCCAACCACACGTAACGATTTCGTTTTGACGGAAGACTCACCTTGAACCTAGCTAAATCTCTCGTTTACAACGGTTCCCAGGTGAATCTACCGTCAAAACCAAATTAATTTGCAAGTGAGCGTATTTCGCTCATTTCGTGCAATTTGGGTTGAAGCAGAAAATAAGGTTAACGGAAATTCGGCCACCGTGGCTACCTGATGACCCCGAATAAGGGCGTAACCGGTCGTGGGCTGTCGAAGCGTTTCCAGCGGCCTTGTGAGTAGTGTATTACGCCTATACATGTATTGCGGTATCTCGATTATCGTGCCAACTGAAACACGGGGCGGCCTGCTGCAGCACATTCAGTTACTTACAAATGTCAAACGAGAGATTCGGCTGGGTTGCAGATGAGTTTCCGGTCATAACTAAATTGAAAGCGTTCGGCTGTAGCACCCTTCCGGTGCCTAGCTGCCATGCCACCCGAAAGCAGCACGAGGGCTGGGATACTGCCAGGTTGCCCAAGACTAGACAGGGGAAGTCGAGAGGCAGAGGTCGGATTCGAACCACGGACCTTCCGGTCAGTAAATTCGCGCTCTAACCACTTGGGCCATCTCGCCATAACTAAATTGGTATGCGAATGAGTGTATTTCGTTAATTCAGTAGTTTTTATGGTTGGACGGTGGTGACCTATTGGTGTCGACACTCATGTTGTCTCCGGTTATTGCGGCAAAGGTCAGATTGAGTGATGACTGCTATTTTATTTATCCCGCGAGGCTGCGTAGGCTATGGGGGGTTGTAATGTGTTTTGGTGGGTGGAACAGCGGAAAGGCAATATTTGGCACTTTCCCCATTAAATTGCAGGCGGTTTTCCACACCACCTATTTTCTTCTCTAATCACTTCCCACCATGCAAGCATACGTTGCTGGGTCATTCAATCGTCAGTTGTCTGGCCAATACTTCATCCGTCGCACTACCTATTAACAGTTAGCAAAATACGTTTGAAAAAACCTACGAGATACTTTCTATGTAGAAGTTTCCGATGTTAAACTGACGCAGGCAACGTCCGCTCGAACCTTGTACTCTGAAGGTTTATGTATATTGTATATCTGAAACATATACAAGACAAGAATGATCTTACATTTTAAGCGCCTTGACGAACTTAGCTCCTTCACATTTTATCTTCAATATGTCTGGTGACCCTGAAGCGTTGACTTGTGGTTTATATGGCATGGGAGTTGCTCTCAGAGCCTAGAACTGGACACGTTTTACTGGATTGGAATGACCGTCTTTGATCCGTCGGTCATCCAGGTCGACGCTACTCAGCATAAAAGCCGGAGCCTGACTGAAGTGTCGACATATGCCATAATGGACTACAAATAACTAATCTTTCAGCTGTAATATCTTTGCGGTACCTGGCTACCATGCAGCCTGAGGGAAACACGTGGGCTGAGAAACTACCAGGTTGTCCAAACCTGGACAGAAGCAGTCGAGCTGCCCGGTCTATTTCGAACCACAGCTTTCTTGGGCTCCAACGGAATGCAGTTCTGGGAAGGATGCATTCTGTCGGGATTGGTCCGACGGTTCATCAGACAGGAACCACTGACTGTCATTATTATGGACTATATAAATGTCTGATTCGGTCGTCTCACCTTGAAGTTACAATCAGGCGGTCGGTTTGGGATCTATGCTCGCCAGAGAGAAACCCATGCATTGACCATCAACTGTTTCGGGGGCTCAGTGGTTAGAGCGCGAATTCACTGACCGGAAAGTCCGTGGTTCGAATCCGACCTCTGCCTCTCGACTTCCCCTGTCTAGTCTTGGGCAACCTGGCAGTATTCCAGCCCTCGCGCTTCTTTCAAGTGGCATGGCAGTTAGGCACAGAATGGGTGCTACAACAGAACGGTGTCAGATGTTTCTGGCCTGCGCGAATTTCGAGCATAAACTCCCGCATCATATAACCTGGTGACCACCAAGCACGGTTCAACGGTCAACTTAACTGAGTTACATGGCTATCACCTGCCAATAGGGAGATACAACTCTTCCAGAGTGCACAATCAATCTTACAGCTATAAACCGTGTGCCATAGGCACATTGGTTTCAGCTGTTACAGTATCGATCACCGGGAAGTGGGAGTGTGGAACACAGCCAAGCCTTGGAGGCGATGACATATCTGGTTGGTTCGGGAACTGGGTAGCTACGCATTGAAGGCGATAGCTTTGATGCATGAGCGCCATTGATCGCACGATTGGACCATTTCAGCCAGTGTCCTTAACCATTGGTAAGTTTAGTCCCGGGGTTTCCATCCAGAGAAGCGGCAGTTGTCGACCCGACTAAGTTAACTGGTAAATGTTCTCATACTTCGTTGCCAGGTCACTCACTATCCCCTTCTCGGCCGCTCCCACTCAGCACAGAACTGGGTGAAAGGAGCTGTACGAGGCAGGCGATCTTCTGACGTGCATGTCCTAATCAGCGTAACGCGCGAAGGGTGAGTAATTCATCTATTGTGAGAGTTCCTTCTTCGTAAGGCCCTATGACCTTCCTTAGCACTACTAATCCGATCTTCCCATCAGACCTGTTCAATGCTTCGGAGAAAACTATGGCCGAATATTGATATCTTTCGTGTGTCCTGTGCGCGCAAAGGCACGTTTCTGATCCACAAAGCAGTGGGGATCGCACTACCGCAGTGAAAGTCCTTCCCTTAACAGACAACTTGACGTCAGGTTGGTGCCATATGTATCGAAGATTTGTGAAATAATCTCATCTCCAACCAATCCACCGGAACTTATACAGCTGCTCATCTGAAAGCATGAGGCTCGTGTTTGACCCCACATAGTCTTGTAGCAGCACTTCACACTTTGCACACTTGCGAAGCGCATGCCACACCGTGGGGCAGAGTCATTCAGGTTATTTAAAATGGTTTGCATTTTTGAAGGGTGTGAGCTAAGGAGGGCAATATTGTCTACATAATCTGTCTGTGAGGGAATGTCCCGTGACCATTTCGATTCCCGAGGTTTCGGAGGTAGGCAGACGAATTTGAAGCGGCGCATCAGTAGTAAATTTGAAGAGGGAAGGTGAAGGAAGACCATCCGCGTCAGGCGCCTTGTAGT